TGGTGCTAAGCAACCAGGCATATAGGAATGAAGAAAACACTCTCTGACCTGTCGCTTACAATCTCAGTAGGCATGTTCCCTGTTCAGAACAGATGGGGAAAGCATTAGATTTCCTCTAATCAAAATGAGACAGGTCTGGAGGTGACATTTCAGAAGCAGTATGATAAGGGGGCCCTTTAAGGTGTATGTGAGCGAGGGATGTGTCTTTCTCTTGTGTGTCTTGTTTCCCCACGATGTACACAATGGGGACTTAACCTTTCATTGTTTGAACAATAATTTGTAAATGAATAACTAATCAGTATTTTAATTATTTTATATTATTAGCCTTTATTTTTATAAAAATTAGTTTATTGAAAGTAATATGGTTATTATTTATAATTTGCATAAATGATTAATATTTAGATATTTATAATTAATATGATTTATGATTAGCATAAATAATTTATTACTAATAAAGATTCCATATTCCAAATGGGAATTTGGAATTATTAGTAATTTGCAAATTAGTTGTAACAATTAAATAACTTCTGGGAGGTACTTTCATTTATTCTTTCCACTCTCAGCCTCAGGTTGCTGGCCGCCATTGGTGTTTCTCAAACTTTCTTGCTTTCTCAATTTCAGAAAGTACTGCCTGGTGAATTGAGCCTTCTCTGGGTTTGTGACATTCTGGAAGGTACTTTTTGGTCTTGCCATTAGCATGAAGGAAAGCCTAAGGAAGCTCTGTGAAAGCTGAGGATGCTTGGAAAATGGTCCTTCCTCTCAGGCTTCTGGGCAACAGTAATGATTACACATTGTCCAACAACCTGCCACCCTCAAGTTCAGACAACACAGGGGCCAATTCAGAGCACAGCAGAAGCTTATATCCAACACAAGGCAACTGAAAACTTAACCCAGTTCCAGATGAGTCTTGACGAAGAAATGAATAGATAAGCAGCAGGTTATTAAGGGAAATCAGGGAAGTTCCAGAGCCCATCTCTGGCCTTTCAGGATGGTGTGGTAGAATGCAAACAATGGACTCTCCCTCGCACTTTCCCTCAGAGCTGTGGTTAGAATTCTGGTCTAGTAGCCTTTGTTCAGATCTGTGATGATATTTCTGGTCTTCTTAAGAATATCATACCAGAAAAAAGTGATGCTAGAACAGCCAAGAGAGCAGGTGAGCTATTTCAAGGGGCAGTTTGTAATGAACATAGCCTTGGACTTAGGGTTCAAGCCCTTCAAGCGTACCATTCCAAGCGCACCACCACTGCTAAATACAAACTTTTGGTGTGGGTCACGCTAATGGCCATGATGTCCATGGTGGTGGTGTTGACCACACCTATCTCCTTTGTCTCACACAGATAAGGTGGGACACTTTCATCAAGGTGGTCCATTTCCAAATGGGCACTCCAGAAAAGTTCCCATGACTCCAAGCACACAGCAGTTTTCGGGCCTTGGTTGGCCACACCCTCAAACCTGAAATTATGCAGCATTACAGGAGTGTGGGGGAACTTCCCCCAGCACACCCTCTTGTGGATTCAGCAAAACCTCCCCAGGAGAAGGGATGAGTTAGATTCAGAGAACAATGATCCCCATTCCCTCCTTCCTTTTTCCATCCCTCTTTCTTTCCCTTCCTTCTCTGCATTCTTGCTTCTTTCTTTTTGCTCCCTGACTCTCTTCTACAAGCCTCCCTCATGCAGCACGGATGACCCTGCCAGGACTTCTTGGACCTCAAAAGTGGGAAGGTGTTTCACTGAGAGCTGGGGCCTCCCTTTTTTTTTTTTTTTTTTTTTTTTTTTTCTAGTTCTTGCTGGGGCAAAGCCCACAGCCCTGTGTCAGTAAATATCCCCCGGGTGGCGGAGACCCTAGCATTGGTGGGAAAGAAGAGAGGGGCTTTTGGGACTCTCGCTTTCCTGTCTGTTAGAGTCATCATTCTTTACCAAGATCTGGGGTCAAAATTGGGTCCTGACTACTGAATGGAAACCCCAAGGTTCAAGGCTGGCTGGTGCAATATAGGGCGGGATTGCGGACAGGAAGTGGTGTGACTGTGTGGGTGTGAAGGAAGGACTTCCTCCCTCTCTGACACTTTCTATGTCGAAGGGGCCTTTCTCAGGCTGCCTTCCTTCCAAACCCAGCAGGCAGCCACTCTGAGACTTGAGATACAGATGCCCAGCACAAGGCCTGGTGCCCAGCAGCAGTACAAATAGAACCATGCAAATCCAGTCCTCAGCAGCTTGTCTACTCCCCTAGTCCCTCCTGGAAGAATACAGCACCTTCTCATGCTTATACTCTGCAGAAGTTTTACTTTTTCAGGTAGGAGTAGCCCAGGGGACATTTGTTTTTCAGGACTCTGGTCCTGTCTCCAGTTATCTCAGAGGGGACGTGACCCTCAGCACCATGGACTGCCTTAGTTTTGGTTCTCTTCTTCCAAATGTATTGCTTTCATATTGAAAGTAGAGGCAGTCTTGATCCTCCCAAAATTCAAGCTCAACCTCAAGCTCAACACAGCAGCTAGGGAGGAGGACGCCTGATTCAGTGGCTAATTTGAATAAAGTTCTCGATCACAGATAAAGCAATTAACATATTGCAGCAAAGCAGCTGGATCTGGGAGATATTTAGGAGACACAATGGACAGGACTTGGTAGATTAGCTTGGGAACATAGAGAAATCAATAGGTTTCTAGCCAGGTGGGTGATGGACCCTTGATTAAATAGGTAAAAGCAGATTAAGAAGCATGTTTGAGGGGAAGACGATGAGATCATGAGTGTATCTTGGGCCACATTGAGTCATTGAGTGGGATATGCCGTGAAACATCCTCTGAGAGACACCTAACAGGCAGCTGGATGGATCCACAGGGCTGCCCCCTAGAGAGATAACTGGGCTCAGGATACAAATGGGAAAGTTATCAGCGTAGAGATAGATGGTGGCTAAGAAGAAGCAGGTAGAACAAAGAACAAAGGTAAAAGCCATTGTCATAGGCTGTTGGGAAGTAAAGGAAAATAAGACGTGAGATGTGACCGTTAGATTTACTAACCAGAGCTTACTGGTAAACTCCAAGGAGGCAATTTCAGTGAGGGGGTGGGAGAAAAGGCTGGATCCTATGATAGAGCCTGACAGATATTCACCAAACCCAGTTCTTCCTCCTACTGAGCGCTTTGCTAAATTTCATTTCCTGACCTCCCTTGTAGCTGGATGGGGCCAGGTGACCGAGTTCTGGCCATTGAACTGTGGGGAAGTGATGCACCATCACCTCCAGGACATAGTCCTTAGCCTCATCCTGCATGGACCCTCTCCTCCCCAGCCTCCCAGCCAGAGTAGAGGGGCTGGGGGATGGCAAGGCCTTGAGGGTGCATAGCAAATGGAAGCTAGGGGACTAATGATTATGACGTGGAGCCAGGGGATTACCTGAGGTCAGGCTGGATAGGGCTTACGGATAAGCAGGCCAATGGGGCCAGCAGGCCTGGACACCCTGGAGTTAGCAGTGGAGTAGGAGAGCATACAGTAGAACAGCAATGACCACAAGGGTCAGAGCAGGTCAGTGGACAGTCAGGACAGCTGGATTTTGGAAGTCGGGTCAGTCAGAGGGGTCCACAAGCCTGAAGAACTTGGAAGTTCTGCAGGATCAGGCTGAGACTCCTGCAGGGCCACAAATTCCTGGAGTTGAAAGTCAGCAGCAGCAAAACTCCTGCATGTGCCAGGCACACACTTCGTATGTTCCTACTCACCACTGCAGAGACCCCTGGGGCCCCGGCTCTAAGTCCACCACCACAGACAGGGTGCTCATCTGAACCGTGCAGAAGGAAAAACAGGCCACATTTCGACACTAGCTGAGCCACACTCAGTTTACCTCCTTGTTGCATCAACCTGACTCAATTCACAGAGGATCAGGTGGGAGACCACCTGAGGTCTCAGCCTTGTTCTGCTGCTCACCCATGGGGGACCTTGAGCAATCTCTTCCCCTTGCTGCACCTGAGCCCCTTCTCTGCAAAGTGGAGGGGTCAGAATGAATTATTTTAATGTCTCTTGTTCTAAAATCTTGCATCATGCTTTCTGCCCCTGAACTCCCAGCAGGCATGAGTTCTGTTTGCTAATAGCAGCCTTCCAACACGCCTGACAAGGGCAAGTTTGCAGCCTTCGGCCTGTGAGTGTTAGAGACCAGGCAGGCCTCCAGTAGGAAGGGGAACTCTCCCTAGGAAAGGGGGCGTTGAGAGGAGTAGCCCAGAGTCAGCAAGTCCTTCACCCCTGGGAGGGGGCTGCCTTCTATTTCTTTCTTGTTTCTTTTCTTCTTTAACCTACATTTTCTTCTTTAATCTACATTTACAACCAAGCACTTTCCTTTCTGTTCCCATTTCTTGTTCCCTTTATGATGGAATGGCTCCACCCTCCAGAACCACCTCTCTTCCAGGGAAAAAGAGAATTGGAGGATGGGAAGTGTCTTCCCGGTTGGCTTTCCTTGCTGGGGCCAACTTCAACCTGGCTTGGTTCTGCTCTTCCCAAAAGACGAGTCGGGCAGACAGGGCTTTTTGAAAAGAAATTGCTCTTCTCATCTACCCAAATATTTGTTTAAATAAAGAGACAAATTTCTCCACTCAGCTGTGACTCAGACTAATACTAAGTTTCTCCCCTATCCTACACCTACTATAGAACAAGAAGGTGGCCTGGGAGTGGACTGTGCAGTTGAGAAAACCAACCAACGCAAGTCCAGCATGGGTGTGAGAGTTGGCCAAGGTGGAAGGCTGTGCAGAGCATGACAAAGACACGGGTCACACCCAGCATGTACCTTTGTGACCCAGCTGGGTCAAAGACTTCTGAAGGCCTAGAAGTGGCAAGGAAGTCCCATTGGTTTATGCTCCAACACAGCCCCCTAAAGCCACCTCCCCTGTCTGCCGTGGAGGTGGCTGTGGGAGAGTAGCCAGGCAGGGAAGCAAGACCCATGAGCCACAGAACACCCGGAGAAGACAGAAGATGACCTCTCCAGGAAAAGGAAGTGTATTGTGCCTCTAAATTCCAAGAACTGGAGAAGGGAGAGACAATAAGCATCTTTATTATCCAAATTCTAGAGGAAATGGCTCTGCATAACAGCAGAACCTAATAGCTGCCAGGGTGGATGAGAAGTCATTCCTGAGGGTGGCCTCCATGCTGGATCTGCACAAGGGCTCTGTGAGTCTTGCGCCTGTTGGATGCCGTGCTGAGCCCAGTCTGCAGGGGACACAGCTGGCTGGTCCTGGAGCTCCCAGGAGGAGGCCTGGCCACAGGTGCCCCCTGTATACAATTGTGAAGGGAAACCCTTCCTCCCTGGTATGAAAATGACCAAGCCTCCTTGTTGGGCAGAGGAGTGTCCTCAGCTTCATCGGGGCAAGCAGCCGGCCACGGGGTCTGGCCGGGGAGGCACTGGCACAAAGTTCAGGGGGCAGAGCAGCAGTGGACACATCTTCTCGTGCTCCTTCAGTGCCTCTGTCAGGTGCTTCAGCTCCTCTGTCAGCTTTCCGATCTCTCTCCGCAGCATGGTGTTTTCTTGCTCCAGGCACTCATATTCCTGGAGGAGACAAAGAATGGGCAACATCATTTCTGATGCGGTGTTCCCTTCCTCCGTCCTCCTGTGCTGCGCTGCTTGCCTCTTGCCCATGAAAGCTGTCTCATTACGCATGTCCCCTCCACCACTCAGATATTCAGGTATTTGTCTATTTGATGAGTGTCTCTCCCCTCCCACTGGGAGAAACTATTTATTGAGGTATAACTTACATAAAATAAAATGTATCTATTTTAAGTATGATCCAGTGAGTTTTGACAAATGTATACACCTGTGTTGATCAATACACAGAACATTGCCATCACTCCAAAAAGCTCCCTCATGCCCCTGTGCAGTTAGTTTCCCCAAATGCTCATGTGCTTCCGGAGATCTCTGTTGGGTTCACAGCTATACTCCCAGCACCTAGAACAGTACCTGGAACACAACAAATGTTTGTTGATTGCACTAACAAACAAACGAAAACATCCCTTGCCTTGGCTTTGCTCCAGCACTCACCTGTTCAGTTTCCTCTCCATCAGAGTTTACAGAGGCGTAGAACTGCAGGGGATCAGAGAGAACCCTTAGCCCAATCCACACAATGTAGAAACCATCCATATCCAACTTGTTCTGGGCACTCCTGCCCTCAATGGACAGACTGTCATTTCTGGGCTGCTCTACTAGAAAAATCTTCTTTAGGGGCTGAGCATGGTGGCTCAAGCCTGTAATCCCAGCACTTTGGGGGGCCGAGACGGGCGGATCATGAGGTCAGGAGATTGAGATCATCCTGGCTAACACGGTGAAACCCCGTCTCTACTAAAAAATACAAAAAATTAGCCAGGCAAGGTGGCGGGCGCCTGTAGTCCCAGCTACTCGGGAGGCTGAGGCAGGAGAATGGCGTGAACCCGGGAGGCGGAGCTTGCAGTGAGCTGAGATCGCACCACTGCACTTTAGTCTGGGCGACAGAGCGAGACTCTGTCTCAGAAAAAAAAGAAAAAAGAAAAAAGAAAAATCCTCTTTGCTGGGCATGGTGACTCATGCTTGTAATCTCAGCACTTTAGGAGGTCAAGGTGGGAGGATCACTTAAGGCCAGGAGTTTGAGACCAGCCTGGACAACACAGTGGGACCCCATCTCTAAAAAATTTTTTTTAAAATTAGCCAGGCATGGTGATGCACACCTATAGTCCCAGGTACTTGAGAGGCTCCGCCAGGAGGATTGCTTGAACCTGGGATTTCGAGGCTGCAATAAGCCATGATTACAGCACTGTACTCCAGCCTGGGTAACAGAGAAAGATCCCACGAAAGAAAGAAAGAAAGAAAAGAAAGAAAGAAAGAAAGAAAGAAAGAAAGAAAGAAAGAAAGAAAGAAAGAAAGAAAGAAAGAAAAGAAAGAGAAAGAAAGAAAGAAAGAAAGAAAAAGAAAGAAAGAAAGAAAGAAAAAGAAAGAAAGAAAGAAAGAAAAGAAGGAAGGAAGGAAGGAGGAAGGAAGGAAGGAAAGAAAGAAGGAAAAAAAGAAAGAAAGAAAGGAAGGAAAGAAAGAAAGAAGAGAGAGAGAGGAAGGAAGGAAGGAAGGAGGGAAGGAAGGAAGGAAGGGAGGGAGGGAGGGAGGGAAAAGAAAAGAAAAAGCTCTTATTTGTACTGATCCAAACTCTCCCCCTTTCAAATGTACCTATTGGGCTTGGTTCTATTTAATAGAACCAAACCTAGTAGATCCAATGCTTTTTTCAACATCGCACTTCTTGAAATGTTAGGATACAGCCCTGTACCACTTCCCTTTATGTATTCTCTGAGCTCAGTTGTCTCAGGTCCTCTGAGTTCCTTGCATCAGGCTTTTCTTTGCCCTTCTGGGGACCCTCACCAACACACACTCCAATTTGCCAGAATATCTCAGAAAATGTTGCTCCCAGGATGCAATGCATGGTTCTGGAGACCATGCCAAGGGTAAATGTGTGGCAGTGACCTCTCCTGTGCTGGGCCCAAGCTGCTGAGGATTCTCCCTGAGCCTGCAGAGAAATGCAAGATTTGTCTGCCTGTGCTGCTTCTTTGTCTGTCCTTGGATGATGATGGATGATACGGGGCTTAAGGTAGGGTTTTACATCCATCTCCACTGAATTTCATTCCTTATTTGGACATCTTCCAGCCCAGCAAAATTGCAAAATCTTTTTGAATCTCAATTGCATTGTCTCATGAATGATGATAGCACACAGCTTGAAGCCATCCACTAACTTAACACGCAGGTCTTCCTTTTCTTCATCCAAGTCATTAATAAGTTCTACAACAAATAGCCAATAGCAGAGCTCTACGGCATGCCAATAGAGACCCTCTCTAGGCTGGCAATCTCATTTAAATCTTGCTGAAATGTTTTCATTCATTTCTAGTTTATAGTAAGGCTTTGTTGTATCATGCACACCATGCATTTCCCAAGCTCAGGGCCCAATTGTGTTACTCTTCACACTTTCTCTCTGAGTAGTAATTTTAAGGGAGTATCACTAAAGAAATCTGATCTTATAGCCCCCAAAGACACATGCAAATTATCAATCCTGCCCCTTTGCTCATGCAGTTATCCTTAACTGGACTGCCTTCCTCCTTTTCTGCGTGGGTTCAGCTCAAGCCCACCACCTCCAGGAAGGCTTCCCTGACCACAGTACCTACAAGAACCATATCTTTTATTATGTGTTCTATTCTATTTTGTATCATATTCAATCTCACTCATATTAAGTAATGTCTCTCCCCAAAGATCAGAAATGTAAAGGACCTAGGAACTTCTGCTACTCCTCTCCTCTACCCCCGCCTGATGCACCACACCACCAGCATCCACATGCTCAGTGATTCCTCAGCCCTCATCCTCTGCTTTTTCTTTAACTCCACCCTTTCCTTTATAATGGACTCTCGGCATCTTCCTCCCTTTCAGAAGCAAGGGGTCTGGCGGGGCTGCCTGTAGAGTCTATCTGAGCCATTCCCCAGGCAGGCTCCCAGCGTGTTCTGGAGCACTCTGCAGGGCAGCAGGCTGTTCTGGGGCCATGTGGCTTCACCAGTATACCGGCCCCATTCTGCCTCCATCCTCCTCCCTGCCTCCCACTCCCAAGCCCTCATGCCCTCCTCTGGCCTCTGACAAGCTCTAGTTCTGGAGTCAGAATTCTGTCTACAAACCCAGCAACAAGCCCTCCATGGGCAAGGGGAGAATCTGGATGGGAGGATGGGATGGAAGCCGAGGCATCAAGGAAATCCTGCAGGCAGCAGAGGGAGGAGAAAAGCTGCAGCACACACACACGTCTGCAAACACACACTCACACACTCATACACACTCACACACACGCACAGAGTCACACATGTGTCCGCAAACACACACACTTTCATACACACTCACACTCTCGCACACATACACACTCACACACAGACACCCACACACACACGTCTGCAAACACACACTCACACACTCATACACACTCACACACACGCACAGTCACACATGTGTCCGCAAACACACACACTTTCATACACACTCACACTCTTGCACACATACACACACTCACACACAGACACCCACACACACTCGTCTGCACTCACACACTCATACACACACACACGCACAGAGTCACACATGTGTCTGCAAACACACACACTTTCATACACACTCACACTCTCGCACACATACACACACAGACACCCACACACACACGTCTGCAAACACACACTCATACACACACACACGCACAGTCACACGTGTCTGCAAACACACACACTTTCATACACACTCACACTCTTGCACACATACACACACACAGACACCCACACACACACGTCTGCAAACACACACTCATACACACTCACACACACGCACAGTCACACGTGTCCGCAAACACACACTTTCATACACACTCACACTCTCGCACACATACACACACACAGACACCCACACACTCACACACGTCTGCAAACACACACTCACACACTCATACACACTCACACACGCACAGAGTCACACGTGTCCGCAAACACACACACTTTCATACACACTCACACTCTCGCACACATACTCACACACACTCACACACAGACACCCAAACACACACGTCTGCAAACACACACTCACACACTCATACACACACACACACGCACAGAGTCACACATGTGTCCGCAAACACACTTTCATACACACTCACACTCTCGCACACATACACACTCACACACACTCACACACATAGACACCCACACACTCACGTCTGCAAACACACACTCACACACTCATACACACTCACACACACGCACAGAGTCACACATGTGTCCGCAAACACACACACTTTCATACACACACTCTCGCACACACACACACACACAGACACCCACACACTCACACACGTCTGCAAACACACACTCACACACTCATACTCACACGCACAGAGTCACACATGTGTCCGCAAACACACACACTTTCATACACACTCACACTCTCGCACACATACACACTCACACACAGACACCCACACACTCACACACGTCTGCAAACACACACTCACACACTCATACACACTCACACGCACAGAGTCACACATGTGTCCGCAAACACACACACTTTCATACACACACTCTCGCACACATACACACTCACACACATAGACACCCACACACACACGTCTGCAAACACACACACACTCATACACACTCACACACATGCACAGAGTCACACATGTGTCCGCAAACACACTTTCATACACACACTCTCGCACACATACACACACTCACACACATAGACACCCACACACTCACACACGTCTGCAAACACATATTCACTCTCATACACACACTCTCACACATGTACACACACACACAGTCACACACTGTCACACAGTCACACAGTCATACACACATACACACACCTCACACACTCAGTCACACACACTCACAGACTCACATCCACACTCCACACCTTCACTTTCACATAAACACACTCACACACACTCCAGCCTGCAGCTGGAAATGCCTTCACTTTCAAGTAAAACGGGGAGTACGTTTGAGTAGTTCCAACATGCTAACATTTTAAGTAGATTCCGAAGGACAAGAAGCCCTCTTCCTTTGGTAGAATATTCCAAGCTGCCTTTCTACATATACTGAATTCCACAGCAAGAGGCTCTGAGCTTCGCAGCTTTGTCTCTGGAAGCCGTGTGCGCAGCCCTGTGGCCTGAGGCTTCCCTGAGGTCCCCTGCCCTCCCCCAACCCCTGCTCAGAGTCGTCAGAGCTTCCCGTCACAGGTGCCCCACGGGCCCCTCATCTGCCTTCTCCACAGGGACTTTCTCTTCCAGGATTTAAGCTTTACTTATAAACCGGCTGAGGGACTTTTATTGAGCTGAGAGAATAACAAGAGAAGAAGTCAAAATCTTTAGGTGAGACCAGTCCTATGAAAATAAAAAGAGGAGCTGGGAGGGAAGAAAGAAGAGGCCAGAGAACACCGAATAGCAGCAAAAGGGGGAAGAAATGAAACCCACCTCACACCCAGAAGAAATTCCTGGAGTAAACGCAAACAAAAAGCAAGCAAAGACCATTAAACCCTTCATTATTTCCAAACATATGACCCATCTAGCTCTAATTCTGCCAAGTTCCAAATCCTTTGCTACAGGAGGGTTTGAGGTTGCTGTACTCCCTCTCTGGGTATTTGCCGGGACAGTTTCAAAGCAGACCCCTAAAAATTAGAGGTGGTGAAATCACTGTGGATCCCAGTTCTGCCTCAGAAATGAAGCTGCCTAAGGCAGTGGATCTCAAGTAGGGCAACTGTGGCAGTCAGCAGGGGACACTGGCAGTGTATGGAGACAGTTTGGGTTATCACAGCTGGTGGGGGGTGCTACTACATCATGTGGCTAGAGGACAGGGATGCTGCTCAACGTCCAACAGCACAGAGGACAGACCCCCAACAACCAGGAATTATGCTGCCCCATGCATCAACAGTGTTGAGGCTGAGAAACCCTGTTCTGGGCATCTAGGAGCAAGTGACTGGGATCAAGGGGCTGCCTAGGGATACGCAGGGTCCAGGGTGCCTCTGAGGCTGAGGAAAGGATCAAGGACTGGTAAAGAAGTGAGTACCAGGGAGCAGAGATGACAACTATGGTGATAAGGAAAGAAGTAGGAACAGGCCACCAGGAGGCCACAGCCACACACAGACCCCATTTCACAAATTAGAAAACTAAAGCTCTGAGAGGTACAGTGACTTTTCCAAGGTCACACAGACTTGGGATCTGACTCCTAACTTCAAGGTCCACTGCAGCTCTCTTGTAGCATCAACAATTCTGCGTTTGGTTGGCAGGGCCTGGGTCCAGATTTCCCCGTGACGGTTACCAGAAGTAAGAGGCTGTAAGATCTCAGTACTTTAGAATAAGTCTACTCCCAAGCCTTCACTGATGCGCTTCCCAGCAGAAAAACTGTGTTACCAGCAAGGGCTGTACAAATGAGTGTCATAATCAGTTTCTAAGCCACACGGGTGCTGGCATGAAGCTTCCTCTTAGAACATGCAATATCTGAAAAAACCATGGCGACTACACAACACAATCACATTGCCCAAGTCATTCACCAGTTTGTGACATTTGGGGCTCCTCAGGATGGCACTGCTGCTTTCCTTTTCTGACTCAAAATTCTTTCTCAGTCTTACACCTTTGGGGTGTCTGGTCGAACCGGTCTGACCCACTTCTGAGCCACCCTTCAGCCCGGGTGAGAGGAGACCCTGCCTATTCACTTTGGTTCTCATTTGTCAGTGTGGACTTTGGCATGCGCCTAGTGTTCAGAGATGAATGCAGGTCGAAATCCCCACGGGAGGTGTGAGCGGGTTGGAGGGATGATTTGAAAGCCCACAGTGAACTCTGAGGTCTACAGACACATGTTAAGAACCACTTCTCATCACCGTAGTCCAACTGCCAGCAACCACTGCCCAGAAAACTCTATGTGAAGGGGAACCCCAGCCGCTGCCTCTCTGGCTTGGCCTGTGCAGCCTCTTTCCCCATCCTCCCCTCCACAGAGGTCTCGCCTTGACGGACACTCCTAGGCCTTTGGAGATGGAGAACAAGGAGGGGAGGGAGGTGGCCGAAAAACTCCTAAGAGCTGCAGTTGGAGCAAGTTTCTCAGGGCGTTGGAGGCAACAGAGGCTCAAGTGCTCACTTGAGCAGCACATACACTAAAATTGGAATGACACCGGGATTAGCATGGCCCCTGCACAAGGATAACATGCAAATTCATAAAATGTTCCATATTTTTTTAAAAACCCAGGAAGACGAAAGAGTAAAAAACAACCCAAAAAACCAGAGGCTCAAGTGCAGGTGGAGTATGTGAGTGAGGTGAGCAGAGAAAAGTGGAAACTCTTGTTGCCCAGGCTGGAGTGAAGTGGCGCAATCTTGGCTCACTGCAACCTCCGCCTCCCAGGTTCAAGCGATTCTCCTGCCTCAGTCGCCCGAGTAGTTGGGACTACAGGCACACGCCACCATACCCGGCTAATTTTTCTATTTTTAGTAGAGATGGGGTTTCGCTATGTTGGCCAGGCTGGTCTTAAACTCCTGGCCTCAGTTGATCCACCCACCTCAGCCTCCCAAAGAGCTTGGATTACAGGCATGAGACACTGTGCCTGGCCAAAAAGTGGAAACTTTAAACACGTTTGCTCCAAATATCCCCCCTCACGATATGCAAGAAATGCAACTAAAGAGCTTGAGTTACTTTGAGATATTCAGAAATGCAATCCCTGCAGTGTGGGATAGAGGAACAGATGAAGAAAGCCCTTTGGATGCACCACAGTCTCCAGGGAGCAGCAGGCAGTGGCTGTCAGTGGCTGTTTTCTGGGCCCTCTGGTGTCTCCCAATGAGCTGGCCTCACTCCAGATTTGAGGAGGAGGTTCCTATGCATGGTGTCCCCATGCTAGATTGGCCTGAGAGGTCCAGGGGTCCTAACGGGCTGTCATGACCAGAAGCAGTGTGCAAGGCGCTCTGTGCTCAACTCACTGGAGCTTGGCAAAAGGGTTCTTTACACCATTTTTAAACCAGATACCTTGCCTCCAATAGTAGATTTAATCATCCAATGATCCCTACAGTTACAATGCTTTCCTAGAAGGAACAGGGAAGGGATTACTCACATGGTGAGTAATGATTCAGTTCAGAAATGATGTTCCTCTGGTTCTGCAGAAGGTTTGGGATATATTTCCATTTTCCTAAGCCAGTTGCCTGCTTCCTCACACCCACTTGTGACCAGTGACACTTGTGTGGAGATAGTGAAGCTAAGGTGAGGGCTACAGCTCTGGGGTCTGTATACAGGTGGAGCCGCTGTCCTAGCCTCTTTGACCCTGTGTTTCTCAATAAAACTGGCCTTGCTGAGGTGATCTGCCAGTGGTGTGTAATCCTGACCCATTCCTTCAGCCCCACAGAGAGAGAGGGGAAGGGGGTGCTCTTCCATGGAGGGTCTGGGCTTCAGATCAACCCGCCCCATTTCTGGAAAGGGCAGCTGGCACAACTGTCATGCAACACAGTCTCTGGGTTGGAGAGCAGGCCAGGGACCCTACAGAAGGGGTCTCCACCCCACAGTTCCAAGAGGGATCAGATAGGGGTAAACGTGGCACCACTCTGAAGTTCCCAGGCACCTGGTTCACTCGGTTATCAAATGCAGCAGTGACAGAAAGTTCGAGAGAGCCAACGCTTCATACAGGTACTCTTCTTGATACTGTGGTAAAGTTCTGTATTTACATTACCTTCTGTGGTAGGCAGCATAATCGATCCACCCCTCATAGAAGTCTACATTCTACTCTCTTGAACCTGTGACTATGTCACTTTACATAACTAAAGGGACTATGCGGATGTGATTAAGAAGCGTAGATGGGGAGACTATCCTGGATTATCCAGGCAGACCCAATGCAATCCTAAGGGTCCTTGTAAGTGAAAGAGGGTGTCGGGGAGTCAGAGAAGATGTGACAATGGAAACAGCACCAGAGTAACGCAGCCTGAGAAAGATGCGACTGGCCATTGCTGGCTCTGAAGATGGAAGGAGACCATAAGCCCAGGAACACTGAAGCCTCTGGAAGCTGGAAAAAGCAAGAAAACGAATCTTCTCCAGAACCTCCAGAAGGAAGGCAGCCCTGCTGCCATCTTCATTTTGACCCAATGTGACCTACTTCTGATGTGTGATTGCCAAAACTGTAAGACAGTGTAAGATAGTAAATGTTAAACCACTCAATGTGTGACAGTTTGTTTCAGCAGCAGTAGGAAATTAACATCCTTTCCTTGGGAAATTCCAGGTTTCCCACCGACAGGCAAGGCATGAGATCTTCCTCCTCTCTTTGTGACCCAATGGCAATGCTTGGTATTTGTGAAATGGATCTACTTGACCGTGCTCCATGAAAGATCTTGTCCAAGATCTTGTCCTCTGGATACATATTCAGTCCAGACTTAAACTGATGTTTTTAAAACTAGTTTTTAAAAATATTAATGCACCTGGCTGGGACTAGGAGCTTCTTCAGGAGTAATGCCTTGGCCATCCAGCAGCACATGTGGTCTGAATATAGGGCCATGCACTAACTGGGAGCCACAGGTCCCCTCTGGGGGCTATTTTGGTAACATGATGCTAGAATCACAATTGCTTCAGGAGCAAGGGGGAAGAAAGAAAGGAGGCAAAGGGCATTACCATTCTTCTGTGGAAATTCTTTAGGATGAAGGCTGGGAGGGACCTTGTGACACTAGTCTAGAGATCCTAGCCTCCTTCGAGGGCCCAGCCTTCTTACTTCAGGAAAGAATCTGACATTTATGATTCATGCCACACTGTGAATTTATATCGGAAGGCCACCTCTCTGTGGAGTATGTGCATTCTAAATTTGTTCTTTGTTCATTGTTAGAGTTTTAAGATTGCCCTTTTCCTCTCCTCTCCCCAACACACCTCAGAGTCTCCATGTTGCCAGTGCCCCAGAATGGCCTTGCTGAGACAAGCATGGCAGGAGACCTAGCACAATGCCTCATGCCTGTAATTCCAACACTTTGTGAGGGCAAGGCAGGTGGATCACTTGAGTCCAGGAGTCTGAAACTACCCTGAGCAACATGGCAAAACCCCATCTCTACAAAACTACAAAAATGGCCGGGTGCGGTGGCTCATGCCTGTAATCCCAGCACTTGGGAGGCCGAGGCGGGCGAATTATGAGGTCAGGAGTACGAGACCAGCCTGGCCAACATGGTGAAACCCCGTCTCTACTAAAAATACAAAAAATTAGCTGGGCGTAGTGGCGGGCACCTGTGGTCCCAGCTATTCGGGAGGCTGAGGCAGGAGAATCTCTAGAACCCAGGAGGCAGAGGTTGCAGTGAGCTGAGATTGTGCCACTGCACTCCAGCCTGGGCAACAGAGTGAGACTCTGTCTCAAAACAAACAAAACAAAAGACAAAATTAAGGGCAGAGGTGGGAAGATTGCTTGAGCCTGGGAGGTGGAGGCTGCAGCAAGCCATGATCATGCCATCGCACTCCAGCCTGGGCAACAGAGCAAGATCCTGTCTCAAAAAAATAAGAAAGTATGGCAGGAAAGAGCTAAACTAAAATCTTTAATTATGCACACCAACCCCGACAAAGACAAGAACATGGAACGGTGGCCCATTCCAATCAAAAAGATCCTCGGATGCTTTTGAGGCCAGTTCCTGGTATGGCGCAGCCCCAGGTCCCAACTGCAGGATTACGAAGGTGTACCCATGAGGGTGGAGGGAAAAGGAATGGCTTAGGATAAATCCTAGGCTTCTGATTTGAGTGATGAGAAAGATGGTTCGCTCCATCGACTACAGTTTGAAGACAATGAGAAGAGAAAGTCTCCGGGTAAATGGATAATAACACTCTTTTATGGATGTGGTACATCACAGCAGCCTGCAGTGGACCCATGGGGAAACAGCTCAGCAGACGCTGAAGTTATGGGGTCTAGGATCCAGGACAGAGGGCCTGCCTGGAGTAATCAATGTTGGGAGCTGATGCTGGGAGAGCAGATTAATAGATTAAGTCTCCTAGGGTGAGAAAAAAAAAAAGGGCAGAGTTTGAAACACTCGTCACCACCAACATTTAAGGAAATAGAGGGTGGAAGGCTAACAAAGAAATGGAGAAAAGAAAATTGGTGAAGAAGATCAGGAAAACTAGGAAATGTGGTCTTTTAGAAGCAAAAGAGGGGAAAGCTTTAAGAAGAGATGGGTCCAAAGTGTCAAATGTTCTAACAAGGTAAAGGATGATGAGACCAGAAAGAGGGTCCTTGATAAGGCAGTGCCAGGGCACAGGTGGCTGCAGTGGGAGCAGCTTCTGTAGGGGGTGTGTGTGTGTACATATGCACGTTGGGTACATGTGTGGATGTGTGTGTCTGTGTGCGCATATATGTGTGTCAGGTGGAGAGGAGGTAGCAGAAATTAAATCACAGAGGATTGGGGAATAACCAGGAGCCGGGGACACAGAGACAACAGGTGTAACTACTCTTTTTTAAGAAGCAAGGAAGTTAAAGGATTACTTTGGAGGAAAAAAAAAAAAGCAAAACAAGAAGCAAGGATGTAAGGGAAGGAAAGAAATGGAGCAAGAACTTGAAAGTGAATCAGGGTCCAGAAGAGGCTTTGTTTTGTTTTATAATGAAAGAAACTTGAGCATGAAAAGCACCTGGTAGATGAGGGAGGAACGAACATGTGTGTGAGCAAACAGTGAGAACACCCTGGCAGAAATTAGATATGAGTGTTGCTGAAATCGTGATAAAGAGAACAGTGATGTCATCACCCCCACTCCCGTGCAAGGGCAGAGGTGGTGTGGCTCTCAGGTGGCTTGTCCCTACCATGGTCTCACCTCATGGAGCTTGTCAGCCTTCTGGGTCTGCTTCTTCCGACTTCTCTGAGCAGCAACTCGGTTTTTTTCTCTCCTTCGGACTTTCCTGTCATCATCCTCAGGGCTCTGGGGAAAAACATCGGGTGGGTGTGATGTCGTGGCCCCTCGCCTTACCCTTCTCTGCCCTGTCTCGTCACTCAGCGTTGTTCACAGAGCTTCACCATTTGCTTTGCAGTAGACAGCAGCACTAGTTGCTACACCAATGGGCTCACAACAGCCCCTCGCCCAGGAGCACTCACCATGTGAGTGTGTGAAGTGTGTGGTGTGACTGCTGTTTAAAAGATGAGGAATAAGAAACTCAGAGGGGTTAAGGACCTTGCTCCAGGTATTACAGCCACCAAGTGGGTGAGTGGGAAGTGGAACTCAGGTCTGTTGGTCTCCAAACCAACGTTCATAAACCTCTAGCCCACAGGGCGTGTGCCTGGAAGAGCTGTGGTGTCAATGTTGTCCATCTGAGACTGGAAAGCTGGGCGGGGCAGGGGGCGGTGGAGAGATCTGCTATCTGGAACTTGCTGTTGGGCGGTGGAGAGATCTGCTATCTGGAACTTGCTGTTTGCCAGTCCTTACACCACCACGCATGAAAGGTACTTTTGATGCTGCATGCAAATCATGATTACACTTATAACTAATTGCAACCACATAACTCTACCAACACACCAAATGATCTTAAACCCCACTGACAATGTACTCATTTGAACAATGCTTGGCTGACATTTTGTTTCAGAAGTCAGAGTGAATCAGAAAGCAAATTTTTGATGTGCCTTGAAAGCTGTTAGCTATACATAAGATTTAACCAAATTCAGTCAAATCCCTCAAGAGTGATCATGAAACAGGCAGACGGGAAAATGTACCTACCGTGGTAAAAACACTTCAATCAGCTATAGAAAACATGAAAATGTAGAGCAGTATTTGCTTTCTAGAACCCCATGAGGAGACACCACCAAGCGGGAAAAATACCACACTTACAGAGTTTAAGAGCCAAGAGGTACAAATACAGGAAAACCACTCAGTTATTAATATTCATGGATGCAAATATTAATAACACAAAAATGGATATTTTCAGTTATCATTTGATCTTGTCCTGTATTCCAAATAAGACACACATCTTCCCAAGTTACTACAGGTAAGAATTTTTTATAAGGGTATAAAAAAGAGAAGAATAAATAACATACATAGCAAATAGAAGCTTAAGGGAACAGAGACAAAGTATGAAAATACAGTCTTCTAGAGAGGCAAAGAAGTCTTGATAAACAAAACCAGAACATTACAGGGGAATATGTGGTTAGAAGACAGCTCTTTAGCTTTAGAATCACATCGATCCTAGTTTTGTCTCTTAGTGTCAACATGGCCTTGTGTAAATGGTTTAAATTCTCTAAATTTTCAGTTTTCTCATTTATTGCAAACATAATTCATTCATTCTTTCAATACGTATTAACTGAGCACCCACCATGTGCCAGACACTGTCCCAGACACTGGGGATACAAGCCCTAAACAAAGGGTCAGTGAACTCTGCAGACTTAGTGCTAACAGCCTAATGCTTAGGATTGGGATACGATGAAATGAGATTTTGTCCTAAAGCTCCCAGCACACAGTATGCCCTCAAGAAGTTACCTGCCTTTGTTGAAGTTCCTACTTAAAAAAATATGTATTCTGCATAGTGCTTTTCATGCCTCTGCTCTCCGTAATCAAAAAGTCACAGAAAAAAGCACAAGAAAGCAGCCTGCATACTGCCCTCGGGGAGCTGACTCTAAACTGGACTCATCACCATGATCACATCTGCCAACGCAGCAAAAACATTTAGTCAAGACAGAAAGAGGTGAGCAAAAGTTAGAGATAGTATTACGTTATTAATCGTATCTGATTCAATCTCAAAGATCCTGAGAGATCGATGTTATTATATTCATTTTACAGATGGGGAAACGGAGGGTCGGAGAGGTTAAACAAATTGCTCAAGGCTGCTCAGCCTGTGTGTGGCAAAGCCGAAGCCCAAACTCAGATCTCTGAGACACTCCAGCGTCACCTGATGACATGTGCCCAGCGCTGAATTGGGAAGGTGGGGAGTAAGGATGAAAAGACCCAGTCTTCGTCGTAAGGCAGGTGGCCAAGACCCAGGCAAAGTTTCCAGATGGCCGTCCCTGTGGCCAGCCTGGTCTGTTTCCTGAGTGCTCAGCTGTAAACGTTGCTAGGGGACAGCGGACTGGGAAGCGGCAAAGGGTTTCCAGCAGCTGGGGGCGGAGTCGGCCCTTTGTAGGTCCCCCCGCCCAAGCTGACCAGTCCCGCGTTCTTCATTCCCGCGGCAGCCCACCCCCGGGGAAGCCCGGAGGGGCTACAGGCACGGGCGGTGGGGTGGTAGTCGCTGGCTGCGCGAGGATGGGGCGGCCCCCAGGGCAGTGCGGAGCCCACGTGCCGGGGAGCACCGGCCATGCCCGGCCCAGCCAGGCGTGGGCGCCCTCGGGCTTCTCCTCCCAGAGGGCGCAAGAGCTGGCGCAGGAGCCATTCCAGGCGCCGCGGACACTGTGCGCACGCCGGGGTCCCTGGCTCGCCCCCAAGCCCCCAAGCCCCCACACCCCCCACACCCCCACGCCCTTACCTCTGCTTGTCTCCGGCCGCACCAGCAACCTCTGCACCTCCGCAGTCACCACCACGGAACTCCGGCACCCACCTCCTCGCCCCCCGCGGCGCGCCGGTTCCCCGCACCCCACGACCCTCCCTGAGCCTCCCGCCCTCTACCTGCGGCTGCGGCTGCGGCTGCGGCTGGTTCCCCGGCGCCGCGACGCTCCTCTGCAGGACGCTGCCGGCGGCCGGGAGCCCTTGCGACATGCCGGGCGCTCCTCCGGCCCGGCCCGCCAGCGCGCCCTGCCCACGGGGCTGCCTACGGGCGCTGTCCCGCCGCGGGCATCCTCGTGCCGCACCCACGGCCCCGCGCCAGCCCCTCCCCCTCGGGCTTCCCGCTCTCCCAGCTCCTCCGCGCGTGGGCCGGGTGTCCCAGCGCGCCAGTCCCGGCAGCGGTCCTTCCCGTCCCACTTCTGCCCCGCCCTCCTTCTCCCACCCCCGCCTCGTTTCCTCCTCTGCCCGCCCTCTCTCCGCACCTCGGGGTCCCAAATCCACCCCTGCTGCGACTTTCCGCCGGCGCCCCGCGCTTCGTGGAAGTCACGTGGTGGCTCTGAAACCCCAGAGGGAACGCGAAGCCCACCCACGCGAAGCGACGCCCCGGTGGGTGGGGGCCAGGGGGGCGCCATGCAGCCTTTGGGGTCCTTCGGCCGCTACCGGGGAACTCAGGTTGAGAAACACAGTGGGGTGTTTTGGGGTCGGTGGTTTTTTCCCGGTCCCATCGCGGCATCTTCCTGCGCCTCAGCCACGCCCTGCGCCCGCCCCCCGGCGCGGGGGTCACAGTCCCGGGGCACTTTCTCCGCGGCGATCAGTCATCTGGGTGCCGCTCTGGCTCCTCTAGCGGCCCCGGAGCCGCGGCTCTGGGGCGAGGACGCCGGCTTCACCGAGTCCCACCGCGCACCCCGAGCCACGGGCGCCCCAGGGACTCTGCAGGGAGCGCCTGCCCTTCTCGTCCCCGGTCCGCCGGGCTGTGGGAGGGAGCGAGGCGCGAGGCGGGGCGGCCCCGAGGGTGAATTCCGGGAGCGGAGGGTGGGCAGGGGGAGGGTGTCCCGGACAGAAACGGTGCCGGGCTTCCCTGAGAGCGAATCTGCCACGTGGGACGTCACTAGTGACACGTTTGGGGATTTGGAGCTGCCATGCCACGGTTAAATGGCCCAGATCCTTTTTCTCTTTCAAGATTTATCCACTCCTGCCAAACTGGGGACCCGGTTGATATAGGGCAAGTCCCTGTCCACCTGCCTGCCGGTCAAAAGATGAGAAGCCAAGACAATTACACGTGGTCCTAGCAAAGGAAACACTAGCGGCCACAGGCTGTGGTCTGCATGCTGTGAGCACCGGGAAAAAGAACCGCGATTCGGGATGGGCGGGTGGGAACCAGACCAGAAGGGCAGAAGTGCCTACCAAGTGTGGTCGCTTGGGTCTTCAGGTTTGTGGCCAGCAGTGGACATCGGGGACAGGCATTTCCGATGCCTTTTTAAATCTTAAATGAGTGCACGTGCCCCCCGCCAGGATTTAAGACCCACTCTTGCAAAAGCTTTGGGAGAGCTTGAGTGAACTTGGCTTCCTGGCGGCAAGAAAGCAAACTGAGATTCTTGTCTGTGTGATCAGAAGCTTCGGCCAACTGAGAGGTAGGGAGGAAGACAGAGGGTGGACGCAGCCCTTTAGAGGTGCAGAGCCACACTCACTCCACACCAGCAAAGCTGCGCAGCAGAGCCAGCGTAGGGCTACGCTGGGTTATCTGCTCGGATTAATCTTCTCATCTCCGTTATTTCATCACTCAGCTTAACTCGTGGTTGCCCCAGGACTATTTTGCATCCCACAAGGTACCCACACAAGGTGCTTAGCATAGCACTCTACATACACTCAACGGGTGCTCAGTATATGTATTGCACTCGGTCAGCTGAGAGCCCTCATTCCTGAAGCACTAAAAGGACTCTACCGAGCTAGGAAAACCTCTGGGTCAAGGAGTTACCATTTTCGGAAGTGATTTCATTCTCCAGTGTTGTTTATGCACGGAAAGGGCAAGGTAGAAACACCTCGGGAACATTCCCATGCACTCCCATGCTTTATTCTAGTCATACCCACTTTTCTCACTGAACATCACATTTTAAGTCCTTTGGGGCTGCTGCTTCCCTGTCTCTTCCCAGGGAACCTGGAACCATGCCCCAGCACTCACGAACTCTTTATATAGGCATAGTCTACTGTCTTGTGTTACACAAGGGTTTCTTCAAATATATTTAGTCTTGGATAACTAGTTGGCACTTAGGATAGAGATCAATGTAAAGATCATACATCAAAATGAATGGATTAAATAGCTAGATACAGAAAAGAAAATCAGAAAGCTAAAGCAGAATTAAATTCTTCTTTAAGTCACGAAGCATAGGCAACATAGTGAGACCCCCATCTCTACCAAAAATTAAAAGAAATCAACCAGCGGAGTGTGGTGGTGCACACCTGTAGTCCCAGCTACTCAGGACCCTGAGGCAGGAGGATCACTTAAGCTCAGGAGTTTGAGGCTGCAATGAGCTATGATTGCACCACTGCACTCCAGCCTGGGCAACAGAGTAAGACCTTGTCTCAAATAAATAAAATAAAATAAAATAAAATAAAGTTGTGGAGATAAGAAGAGAGGATTTTAAAAGAACACATGTAATAGGAGAAATTGACTTGATAAGATCTGAACTATATAAAAGCGCTAAATTGTTTTAGATGACAGTATAACCAGAAATGTAAAACAGATTGAATAAATACAGTGCATATGAGGAAGGGTTAATATACAGCCCATGAAAAAAAATAAGAGTATTTAGACAACCCGCAAAGGTAAATTGCAGTAGGGACATGAAATGGCATTTCCCAGCAGAAGAAATAATCAAGGAAAATAGACATAGGAAAATACATATTAAAATAAGAATCCTTTTTAAATTAGCAAAATAAAAAGTAATATCAAATGCTGGCGAGAGTATGGTGAAATTCATACTCACACGTTTCACTGGCTTCATTGTAAACTGGCACAAACCTGCTGGAACGCAGTTTTACTCTCACTTTCAAGAACCATAAAGGAGTCATCACTTTTGACTCAATTTTCCTACTACTAGAAAATCATCCTAGGAAGATCATTGAAAATACTAGGGAGAGAAATACTATATGCACTAAAAGTTCATAATAACATTTTAAGAGTGAAAAATGTAAGCAATCTAAATGTCCAATTATAGTTGGATGGCTAAACAAAACATGTTATTGCCACAGGATAGAATGTTATGCATCTTTAAAATTACAAGCATGCAGGCTGGATGCAGTGGCTCTCGCCTATAGTCCCAGCTACTCCAGAAGCTGAAGTAGGAGGATCATTTGAGTTCAGGAGTTCAAGGCTGCAGTGAGCCATGATTGCACCACTGCGCTCCCGTCTGAGCAAGAGTGACACCTTGTCTCTTTAAAAAAAAATTACAAACATGCAGACAAATTTGCCACATGGAATGTTTATTTGATCTGAAGAAAAAAATCAGGATACAAAAAGTACGTATATGACAGGAACAGTATGTACGAATGTATGCATATGAGAAAAGATTGGAAGAAAACGTACCCTGATGGTAGCCTTTCTCACATGTTCACATTATAATTTCTTTTACCTGTACTTGTTGAAAAATTGTTTTTATTTTGTTAGCATCTTAAAACATTTCATATGTAAAAGTGATATAAATATATTTATATGGCACTAAGCTCATTGACCGCACCAGAATGCCAGCACTTCTCTGATCGTTTGCTCTAATAACAGACTTTTCCTTGCTTTTCTGTAATATTTTCTGGTTTGTTTTATTCTCTTTAGTCAGAAGGAGAAAAAAATGAAGAAAAGATAAAGAATAAGCATTTCAAATGTCTCCTTTTCTTCTACCTTTTATTTTCTTTTCATTTGTATTATTTTCCTTGAACCGGGAAGAGAAATTATATGATTTGGCAATTTCTGATTAATACCACAATTACTCTGGATTACATCTTTGGGAAGGCGGGGAGGAGGTGCCAGAGGTTTATAGCTCAGTGACCAAACCCTCTGGTGATTCACTTCACAAAAGACAGCTCTTGATAAAAATGCATCACTCCAGTGCTAGCAAACACTGTCACTAGTTCACCTTTGCTCTTCTCTTTTAGGAAAATTGGCCTTTCAGTCATTGTACTCTCATTGCCCTTCCTTAGAAGGTGGTCCTGTGGGCTGCTGGTGGGGATGGAGAATAGAACGCTGAAGGCAGAATCCGCTGTGTTTGCCAGAAGTCAGCCACTGCGTGTCAGGCCCTGTTCTAGGCACTGGGATACAGTAGTGGACAAAAAACCATCCACACCTCCCGGAGCTCTCGTTTCAGCGGAGGAAGGCAGACAATAAACAAAATTTAGTAGTGTGTCAGAGGGTGGTACATTTTATGGCAGAATACAAAGCAGGGAATAGGGACCAGGTGTGGGGAGAGATGCATTTTTGAACAGGGAGGTCCAGCCAGGCTTCTGTGAAGGAGGTGAGAGAGGGAGCCCTTTGGATACCTGGAAGAAGCGGTCCAGGCTGCACCAACAGCAAATGCAAAAGCCCTGTGAAAGCCTGCCTGGCCACTCCAGAAACTGCAGGAGGCTCACGTGGCTGAAGCGGAGTGAGGAAGGGGCGGAGGCCAAGAGATGAGGTCAAAAAGGCGGTAAGAGCCAGGTCTTGCGGAGCCTCCTGGGCTACTTGCTTTTACTGGGCATGAGATGGAAAACACTGGAAGCCTTTGGGCTGAGGTATGACGTGATCTGACTCGAGTTTTTTATGAGATTGCTTTGGTCACTCAAAGAACAGACTGAGAGGAGCAAGGAAGAAACAGGAAATGACAGCAATAATCCAGGATAGCTGGGATAGGGGCTTGGAAGATGTTGGGAATGCGGAGGCCGAGGCAAATTTGCCAGGAAGTTAAAGAGCTTAAGCTTCAGGACACCTCACTTACACAGGCCCCTGTCATGACAGCTCAGAAGGGGCCATAGCAATGTGTCCACATGGTGATATGTTTTAATAAAATTCGCAAAAACAGGATATTTAAACCCTAAGCTGTGAAGGCCACTGTTTTTCACCCCAACATCCCCCAGTCTCTTCATATCTAGTGGTATTGCAATGGCTATGGACATTTGAGGGACCCAGCAAAGGAAAGTTTAATCAGATATGTTAATATAGTAGGGTATGTGGGTTTCAGGAACTCCTGTATACAGTCACGTTTGCTACACATTTTGTATGGCCACCAGGAATATTCCAACTGCCCACTGTGCTAACTCACTCGACAACATCTATTGTACTAAGACATAAATATATCCTATACTGCCCTGCACCAGACATATATGTATCAAGGTGGTGGAGGGGAGCCCCAGAAGCAGTCTGTGAAAATCCTTCAAATCAACATACGTGCTAAGTTCTAAACAGAAGATTCATTTCTTGTTATCTAGTCAAAACCAAATTATCTCCTG